CCTGCTGTGAATGCTCTTCAAATGATGATGATAATAATAATAATAATAATATACATTTCATACGACATAGGTTACATAAATAAAAACCAGTTTACAAGTTTGATCACTTTGATAACGAGAAGTGACAATTATGTACGATGTTAAGCTATACACTAGATACCGTTATTCACGGCATATAAGAGGTGTGTTGAAACAGGCTCAGTTCGAAATTGGGAATTATTCGGTCATCGTTTCAATCTTCCAGTATTATTGAAGGTGCGGCAGGCAGTACAACCATGACCTCGGGGTATGTACGTTCGTCATAAGGTTTCGGTGGAACGGTGCACACTAACAAATGAAATTTCTAGGAGTCCACCCAAATGCAGGACTGGTTAGGTAAACCTGAAAAGTGAATAAAAAGAGCGAGCAACAGACCAAATTCAAAACAGGAGCATAAAAAAATAGTGGAGTGAACCGTTCGTCTCTCATTTTTGGGATTTCTCCACATTAGAAAACTCATTCGGAATACTCAGTCTGTCAAACCCAAACTTTTGCAACCCCCTATTACTGCACATACTTGACTGTTACGTGGTCGTGAGCATACTTCTGAACAGGAGAAAACTAGCATTATTGGTCCTGCAAACCGGCGGATTTACTTCCTTTCAGTGGCCCTTGGTTGTTTCAGCTGCCCAACTGCCATAGCTTTCGGCTGCTTTCAGAGGTCATTCTCCAGAGCTCATCTTTCCTGGTTCTACATGAGCATTTGCAGCTCCCGGTTAAGTTCGTCAGCCAGGTGCGCAGAAACAAGGGGCAAGGGTCTGAAGGTAAGCCAACATAGTTCGTTTTCACCCATACGCTCTATCCTTCCGCTTCAATCAGCCTCCGATCTCTTTGTCACTGTTAAATACTTATTTTCTTAAAGGTTTATGTAATGGTGTCATTTATGTCTCGAACGGTAGATCTGAAGCGATGACACATATGCGTGGGGTTAACATCGAAGGACAACACAGAGGAGCCTGGAAAAATGCTAGCCCTTTGACTGTGCACACCCAGCCGGGAAGGAAGACTACGTTAGGCCGAACTTCCCTATCCCCTACTCGGCCGCAGATAACGTCAGGTGCATAGAAAAAGACACCATCCGCCAGCCTTTCTACGGCACCCAGCCCAGACATCCTAGTTACTGTGATTGGGGGGCAACCGGTAAAGTCGAGAGCATCACCCATGACGAACGCGAGCCACAGGAAGGCCAACTCGATCATGTCGTTCAACGTCGATGCACGGACGGACTAATTGTCGGCTAACAGAGAACACTTCAGCAGCTGAGTATGGGCCGACCGTTGTCAGATGCTGGAACTCCCTTCTCTCCGCGAGACACTATGTCGCCTGCCTCACGGAACCCGGGCGCCGAGAGAAAATCTCACCTCTGTACGCGTGTCCTTGGAAGTCATTAAAGAGGCTGAAGATATCCTTCTTCTCCACGCCAACCAGAAACTGGTCAGCAAGAAGGGAGGAGAGGAAGGCAGTAATTATCTATCCAAATAGAAACAACAGCGTGGTTGTACATGGGATCCCAGAACCACCAAGTGACCGGTCCACCAAAAGTCGGTAACTTCACCACGCCCAACATTGGTGGTGGTCGTCAGTCGGAGTCGGTCCTGACGATATACCTGCTAACAGTGGCAGTAGACCAAGGTCGAGACCAATGCATCCGAAGTCTGTCCCTACTTTTAGACCAATCGCCGTCCAATTTCACTGGCGCGCCTCCTTTACAAATGTCCCGCGCGCATGGTATAATCTTAAAGACCCCGCGGGGGCTCAGTGGGCATGTGTAGGAGTAAGCCAAGACCCACCAGGCGAGAATAAAGACGCCAACCACATCTGGAGTCAGTGGTTGTCACACAGACACTGGTCATTGAGTCAGGTACGTTAAAAACCGAGGCCCCCGTCATCATGATCTCCGCTTAAGTCGAGGGTAAATTCCCCAAAAACGGAGAGATGCCAGTTCTGTGAGGACTGGCGAGGTGAACCCCTACCACATAGCTGCCCCTCACGGAATCGTACAACCGATCCTTTCCTCCAATCAGGCACAATTAACATGTTCGCACATCGACTTTTAGGGACTAAGGGAGAAAGTTTAGGAGATGAGGACAATGTGCGAACGCCTGCATTATGGCATCACATTCACTTCAGGATCCTGGCTCTGACCGGCCATCTCTGATAGAGAGATGCATGTCCCTGGCAGGGAACTCTCCCGCGGAGACAGAGAGCTCGGAGCGGGAGGAGGAGTGGCTCTCTACGTTGGCTCTCTTTCAAAGCCATGAGCGGTAAGTGACATGGCACTAATCCAGCTTCCGGAATCTTTGTGGTGCTATTTCACCCTCCATGGTATAAGACACCTGCTCGGGGTCATATGTCGGTCTCTCACTAGCTCCTCTACACATAAGGAAGTGGTAACCAAGGTCATCTTGGCGACCTCTGCGGATTGTGACTCTGTAATCGTTGCTGGTGACTTCAAAACTCCGTCCATCTTCCTGAAGTTGGAAGGGAGGCACACCGGACCTTTCATCCAGAAGCTGAAGAACGCAATTAAGACCCCTGGTTTCAGATAGAGTGGGTGGTGTCACGCGCTGGGGGCCCGGCGAGAATGCATCGCACATTGCCTGCGTTCTGGCGAAGGACGACCTCCACATTGAGGACACTAGTACCGAAACGCCGCTTGGTCTCACTGATCGCGCAGCATTAAATTTCCCCATGACTGCTAAGAAGGCCCTGCGACCAAAGACGCCAAACACCTTCTCTTTCTACAGCAGGGCCAACTACGAGACCACGAGAGATTGTGTCACGAATGCATCATGGCCTGTGGACCGGATTCATCTCACAGTGGATGAACACTGGATGCAGGTGAAGGAAACAAACGTTGGGGCCATCAGTCACAGTGTGCCGGAGGCAACACATAGACCGTCGGTGAGAACTCCGCTGCTAAAGCGTAGGACAGAGGGGTTAATTTAGAGCAAGAAGCGGGCTTGGTTCAAGTGGCTTTTATCATGCAGGTGGTCTAGCTTTCTGAATTACAAAGAAATCCACGGCCACCGTAACGTGGCAGTGTGAGTTGACAGGTTTGCCTGTCAAAAAACCCGGTCTAGAGGTTACAACGTGACCTAAAAACCTGTACCGCTTCATGCCGGAAAGGAAATCGATCGGCGAGGGAGTGGACCGTAACGCAGGTCCCGATGGAAGTGCACTAAACAGTCTAGAGATAGCTGAGCTTCTGAGGTCATACTTCCAATTTTGGCCCAGTACTGACACCAAACCTATATCGATCCGTTATGATATTGACCAGACCGTAAATAACTAATACCTCCATCACATCCTAATCACAAAGAAAAAGTTACCGGAGAAACTAACTAGGTTGCGTCCAGGCGAGTCCCCTGGCTGCGATGACCTAAAACCAGCAATTCCAAAGACCTTCACCGAGGTGCTCGCGAAGCCAATATGGGACCCCTTCAAGCACTCAGTAGAGCCATAGAAGCTCTCTAAAGAATGCAAGTTTGCCATATTTTCATCGACTTTTAAGGAAGGAGACTGAAAAGGTCCTGACAGACAGACCGATTGTTCTACTTTCTACACCGTCAAAAGCTTTGAAAAGCCTAGTAGCTGATGCAACCTGGGAATTCGTTAACAGGGAAAATACCGTCAAAACTGCTCAACATAGCTTTCAGAGTGGTGGTTTATGTTTCACCAACTTCTAGCCCCCTACGACGACTGGACACTTAGTTGTGACAACAGAAAACCGGCACATGTTGTTTTTCTCGGTATAAGCGAACCCCTCACCCATCCTCCTCCTCTCAGATGACACTTAGATGTGGAGGTCAGGAAACGAAGAGGCTGATTGCACGGCACTGGAAAATGAATTGCAGCCTAAATTCTGGTCGTCGGCAATTGGCCTGAGCTTTAACCTGGAAAAGTGCAAAGCAATGGACATCAGTACTTCTGAAGCAGGAACAGACGACTTCCAGTACATGCTGAGAGACCTTGCCGTCACCAGAGTATCCTCAGAGGAAGATTCGTGGCTCAACTTATCCAACACTGAACACCAGCTCCAACTACAAAGACATGGCAACCAGAGCCAGCGCCACTTTGCACTTCATGCGTAGACAGCTTGGTGCCCTAACCCTCGAAATACTCCTCAGATCTACAGCAAAACCGGTTATGGAGCAAGGTAAGAAGGCATAGTTCGAAAGACCAGACACCTAAACCTACCCACTTTGAGTTACCTCAGGAAAAGGAGTGACCTTACTGTGGCCCACGAGATCACCCATCAAGAAAAACACGTTGACAAATTAGTCTTGCCTATAACACAGCGGCCATCACGAGACAACCCGATTACGATTGCACTTGGGAAAAATAATACCACGCTTATACCTAATTTTTTCTCTTCGAGGGTGTATACTTTGTAGAATGTCCTGACGAGGGATATTGTCAGGGCCCCCTACAATGGACTCACTCAAAAGATGGCTAGACGTTTATGTCACTTTGCATGGTTTGCCTCAGGCTCACCCGGGGAAACACTAACCCCAATAGCTCACCACCGCTTCCTGTCTACCTAACATTCACCATCTCTTATCTTGACGCGACTATATTATCTACTAACTCTGACGTAGCAACGAGACCTAAGCTACCTAGTTTTACCCCCTGTGTAATTCCCGCGTACGTTTTCCTTACTATCTCAATATTTCTACTCAAGCATCTAAACAGATAGGAGTCACGACGAACCCTTAATCTTCCAGCAACCTGTAGCTCTTCACTCACTCTATAAATTGCAATTTACTAACCCCAAAACATCCACCTCACCAAAGTCAAAAGCAAGAAGGTAGAAGAGACTTCCTGGACCACTGCGGGAGGAAATAGAGTGACTCAAAACAAGCTTTAGGGGGTAGACGCGAGATATCAAAAACTATTAGTTTTCTACGCACGAGCTATCAATATTGGATATTAGATCGCGTTGACGCACAATATAAGGCGTGCGTTACAACCCGACTTCAAGGTCACTGTTTCTCACGTCAATCCAGGTTGGCTTTGTGGTTGCACTGTTGTGTACACACCATACGAGTACGGATTTTGAGGTACCTAAAAAATCACTGTTGTAATAATGTTTGGCATGTCAAACACTGTGGCGTTAAAAACATAGTGATATCAAAAATATTGAGTTTAGTATATTCAGCCCAGCCAGCTTTTACTTCAAGCACGCTTTGGAACGTTCGGGTTTTAGCCCGAAGCAACGTCGAGTGCCTCTACGAAGTTTTGGGTGTGTTTCCTAAATCTCGAAAATATTTCCATTAGCCGTTTCCATTTGTTTGGTTTTAATAGTACACAAAGACATGCGACACAGAAGCCTCAAGGATTAAATAATAATACTACCAAATATAACTTCTCATAATTTTTGTATATCAGTTACTCCAAATCTTCGGGCGCACTACCGACACTTTGTGAACTTCACGGGATTAGGCTTCCTGACCCAGTCAGCCAAGAAAGGGGAAATAATGGGGGAAAAGTAGACTTTTATGGGGAAGATGTTTTTGATATGTGGACAGCGTTAATCTAGAAAGGTTAACAATATATTTATCCAGATTTTGTGAAAATAACCAGCGTTTTTTGTCAGGTGAATTGTTTAACTCTCGAAGCATATTTGCTCGCGTTTTAATAATGCTATCCCTAAAGAATTTCATATTATCGATAAGTTCGATAGATGTTATTCTACTCAAGTTGTTCGGTAATATGTCGTTTGAAATTCTTTAGTTTTTATGGTGATATTGCTGAAACGATCCAATATGCTTGGGAGTTCAGCAATTCACCTGGCAAAAAAACACTGATTGTTCCCACGGTAATCTGGATAAATATATTAGTAATCTTTTTACAGTGACAATGTCCACTTATCAGAAGGAAGCTTTACCCCTTGGGCTTAAATTTCGTGTCCCTTGAACGTCTTCATCATGCACAGTTGAAACCTTTTGTTCCAACTTCACTTGACAGTAAGGGCTGGCTGAAAACCAAAGTTGTGTATATCACTCATCGATTTCGTGATAGCCACCACAACCAGAAAAGCATTGTAACTTCTGAGCATTTCAGAGCTATGGAGGAAGTACGAAACGACCCTGACGTTATTATTCTCATACCTCACAAAGGCTCGCGTGTCGTGACGATGGATAGAATCGAATACAGGTGCAGAATGTAATCTTTTCTTGAAGGGGAAAGTAAATTTACTAAAGATTACTCTTCAAAAGACGTAGAGCTGTTGTAGGGGACAGTGACTGCCGCGGCGTGTTAAAGCCTTGTCACAGGAGACCGTTCGGTAGACTTAGAGTACGCATATGATAGTCATGATAGGTGAAAATGCTGATAAGATGCAAGGTCCTCTGGAGACATTGAGTGGCGATTTGTGAAAAATTGGGATGCTTTTTTCAGTACTCAAATGCAGACTATTGCTCTAGGACTGGTGGGCGTCTGACAGTAGGGAGTGAAGTGGTTGAGCGCGTTGATCACTTCACTTACTCGGAGGTCGGACCAGCTCTGGTGGTTCAGTGACCGATGCAGTCTCTAGACGGGTACGAAAGGCTCACCTAGTGGTCATAGGTGGGGAAGATAAAGAGGCTTCGGTTATTCTACCACCGTCACCTTCGTGATGTGAGCCATGTGTCTTGGTGTCACCACATCAGTAATGTGAAATTCAGTCGTAGTTTCAGGCGAAATAGGTAAGTCAGTTGATGAGGCTGTAGACCTCCATCCGCTCAGATTATTGGGACATGTTACGCTGGTTTGATTACTTTCTTGTTTATTTCTCTTTCATCTTTGCATCCTACACTTTGATAAACCGATATGAGTTATGGTGGCATGAATCATTAGTCAATAATGCCGGGTTCCACGTTGGTCCGAAATGACTTACGAGAAGTGATGATGCAACTGACTGACTGACAAAACCAACTTACAACCTCGCACACATGTGCATCAGTTCATGTTGCGACACTACAGTAGGATGCAAAGAATTAGGGAACAGAAAAAGACTGATATCAAAGTGGAAGGTGTATGAGAGAAAAGAGGATTTGAAAATGAAGGTAAGTGGGCATTCTCAAGCTTTAAAAGACGTGAAGGTAAGCATACATCTTCGCCATTGCTACCGATTTTCAGCCATGTTACCAAGAGTACTCAACCACAGGTTCTTTTCGTCTCGGGGACCCCAACCAGGCAGTCGAAATCTCTCTACACGACTCAGACCACCAGTTAGGGACTTCATCGGCTGTTTCCAGGTCTTTATCTGACCACCACCCTCTTCCAACTTCCCCTAGCAGAGCACGTCAAGGTAGGCAGTGGCTTAGCATTCGCAGTCCAAGCTAGCTCAGTCGACTAAGGTTCGCGACCTCGTCAATCAACTTGCAGGCCTGTCTTACCTAGTACCCTTCGCCTCACCTCAACATGGCTCACACAGTCCTTCTACCAAATGTGAGGAACGGTACGAAGATGTGTGATCAAAACTCTGTACTCGCTTCATGTATTCTACTTTCACCGGCCATGTTTCACAGCTGTGTACCAGGACGGAACAGTCTGCAGCGCACTATACTCCTCCTTTGATAGTTAGCCGGATGTCTCGCTAGATGGTGCCACAGATGACTCAAATTGACAAGTGCCAAACGGGCCGTTTTTATCCGAGCTGAGGTTTAGTCAGCAACTAACCTGTTCTGGCTGATGCAACTCCCCAATAACATTGCATTACAAGTGGCAGTTTACAGAAATTGAGGTAAGTAGGAAGTGACGGAATACGTTTCAAAACGATAAGACCTAAATACGATAACGAGTGGTAAGTCCTCGAAAGAAATTCTACCAATATGATGGCCAATTTTTGTCTGTTGAGGAATGCTATGTCACAACCTCCAATCATGTCTTTGCCACTGCCTGCTATATCATTGTGACTTATGTTCTGTGGTTTAGGGAGGTGACTACCAACCGGTGGGTCACAGCTTCGAACCCCACTCCACCTACCGAGGTTCGGGTAGCCCTCACACAATAGGTGTAGGTCATTACCTAGTGTAAAAATGTGCACAAGGTTGCTGAGTGCGTGCGATGAGATGTATAAGTCAGATTGTATTGGTATATCACTAAGAATTCAGAGCTAAAACACTTATCAACTCTCTCCAGAGATACGTTTTGCAGTACTCTCACTAAATCCTGAGACAATTGATTAAAATAAATGGGTTTTTAAGCTCTCCTCGTACATACAATAAAAAGCACCAAACACGGTAAAGGCCACAATTGCTGAATGACCAATCTAATGGTTACAGTCAGCAGTTGTAGCCTTTCATGTATCGGATAACTTAACTTTCTAGTGGTGACATGAAAATGTACGTAAAAATCATTTATTATTTCTGTCGTGTTTATTTTAAACAAACTTTTATTAAAGTTATATGAATGAATGTATTTCCTAATCAACCGATAGGATGACAAACAATGAATGGGGTATAGCTCTTTCAGTTCCATGTGGCGTATAGGTCTGTAATTCTGATACATCGATGTACTCACTTCCTATGCTGGTTTTTTGTTAATAGAATCAAACATTGAACATATTTCAGATTTTTACATGAACTATACATTCAGCGTGAGAAAATTTCTTCGTAGATCGACTAAGCTATATTGTCTTGGTATGCATATGAAATAATGATGGTTTCAAACGTCAAGTTCACAGAGAGATTTTCAATTTTATTCCTTCTACTAGTTTGCTATTCTTTATATTGCTGAGGCAGTATTTTGGTTTGAATTAATTTTTTCTCATCAACTATCCCTCTTACTTAGTAATTTCAGCTTTTACTATAAGGACATACATTTAACTAATGAAAACCTCATGTCAGATATCATTAAAACTTGTGACCTTCTCTGAGTTGAAAACTTGGTTTTGACAGTGCATCATCCGTTTGCCTAAACTGTTATGAAAAACTGAGTAAATTCTATTTTCCTGCGAGAAAATAAAGAGTAATTCAGCGAAGAGCCTTCTTCCAAACAGAAGACGTGTTAAACAGGAATGAATGAGATGAATTCATCTTCTAGGTGTGATTTGTCGATATTGCGAAACCGTAATGGCTGGTATGCTTGTAATGGTGGTGGTTAGCTTGTAGGGAACTGGATGTGTTACTACTATATAACGCCTAACCAGCTGCATTACACTTGAGGTATTCTAGTACCTGCTTAGTCAAAAAGACTGTCATTCAGGAATAAGCTCGAAAAAACAATACATTTAAGTAGAATAAATATAAAAGCGATTATTAAGGGAAAAGTCTATCCAGCTTATCTGGTTACTATTGGCTAGGCTAGGGACTCTGAGGGCATGTGTGCTAACCAGCACAAAGGGAGTTCAAAATGACATCAAAGCCTACTCAGATGTCTACTTGTTAAAGTAAAACTTAAATCACCTAAAGCATCCAAGGGTGAGCTAGAAGTTTGTTTAGTTTTATCGCTGGTTGTATTTCGGTGTCAGGAATGTGCACTACAAATTGATTGAGTGATTGATGTGAAAGGTGTCTATATTTTTTAGTGGTAAATTCTATTCATTCGTATTGTCAACAATTACTTTTGGTTATTTATATTGAAGATTTTCAGTTATGTCAGAGTATTAAGTCGACAGCAAAACGAACGCAACAATGTTTTGACCTTGACTTTATTATCTAAGAACACCACTGACTTTTCGATATGCTTAGTCTTTTTTATTGGCACGTTTTAACATTATTATAATTCAGCACTTGTTTTCAGTGTTACAAACTATTCATATGTTTTATGGTTGAAATGCATAATGATAAAGATATCTTGAACGTTTACATTTAAAATATTCTTGAATTGTTATCATAGTTTTACTTTTACTATCTTCCCTTTCAGATAATTTTAATTTCTGATCATTATGTTTATTGGGCAATGTTGTTGTTTTATGGCTAATCTTAGTTATGTGGTTCTAATTGATACGTCTTTGTGGAAGTAGTCAAATAATGTTTGGCACTTACGTAGAAATCACTTTTAAAACTTGTCCCCGACTTCTCAATGTTCAACATATTCAATGCTTATGATCTACTTTTGGTAAAATATCCACTCTTTCAATTAAAGGGAAATATTAACCCTTATTGCAAATGTTCATCAATTCTTGTCTCTGTTCATAATGACCATACTGGTGGTTGGGAAATGAATTGGATTTTATGTGAATCTATGTTCAAAGTATTTGTACCACTGTCTATAGGATGTAATACTTTGAAGTTGAAATGCCAACACTATCTTGCTGAATTTCGCATAATATATGCACGTAATCATGGCTGTCAGTTTGTTGTTAGGCCTATTTACGTAATCTGCTCAGATGAAACTGGAGAGTTTCAAGCTCCTCAAGAAGTGGTTTCTACGAAAGAAAGTGCTTGCAAACGTATTGGCCTGGGAATTAGATTGTTACAGACTCTGACCGCAGAATCATTTCTATCTGAACTTGGAAAAAGGTATACTTTTGTGACTGAGGATGATTTGAATCAAGAGCAATCGTCAGACATCCTACAAACGTCTCATGTCTACTGTTTGTGCCATCATTCGAGTCTCAGTAAAACATATGTTAATAATAGTACTCCTGAGGAAGTTTGGAGAAAGTTAGCATACGAACTTTATAAAACCTATCCTGATAAATTCAATAGTACCAAGTGGATTGCATTCATGGCTTGTACGCGTTATCATTCATCTAATAGAAATACTACGGAATTTCTTAGTTACGATGAAATACTTCAACAGACAACAGCCCACTTTGCCCTTGGTAAGTGCATCCTAATTTTACTTTGGTTTTTGCATGCCCCGAGTAAAACATTTTTTGGAATATGTTTAATTGAACCGACAATTTCCTTTAAACTAAGATTGATATAGTTCAGGATCTTAATTCTGACCCAGATCAATGGTAGAGACTAACTGTTGACCATATTTCATTCTGAGAAAAAGCCTTTGTATTTCGTTATGAAAAGGAAATTATCTCTTAAGGACTTTATCGGTTATCTGTTTTTATGATGGATGGTGGTATAGGAATGTTTTTGCTCATCTATAGGGAAATTCTTGATTGTATTATGTTCTATTAGCTGGGTTGTTTAATCGTGAAGCTTTCATCGTCTTTCTGGACGACATCGTCAGCACTAACTTCAGTATGAAGTGAGTTATCAATATCTCTCCGTGAGTAGTGGTTCAGTAGCTTGCCCTGACGAACTGGTTCATGATTGGTTGTTTCCTTTGATCGTTGTATCATTGATTGTATAAATTTTCCTGTTGGCTGTTCCTTTGCTTGACCTCTGGCGTTTCTGTTGTTCATCATTTTTCTTATTGGTTGATAGATTGGGTCTATGCCTATACATCTATTGATTGCTGACTGACCTGTATGCCAAGCTTCTAGGAATTCTCTGATATTCTTCGTGTTTCCTCTGTTCAAAATGTCTACACTGTCAAAATTGAACTCATCTCTATAATTATCCACGAGAATTGAAATGAGTGGTGAGATGTCGTGACGTTTAATAGCCAATTGATGTTCATGTAGACGAAGACGAAGAGGGGGACCTCTTTATCCAATGCAGTGTTGACCACAGCTATTGCAGTTGATTTTGTAAATCATATTCGGTTTGTCTTCTTCAGTTGTTGCATCCTTTGGTCTGCATAATAGTGTTTGGAGGGAATTTGTTGATCTATGAACCACACCTTATAGATTTCTGTTAGCATTTTGATTGTTCCTTATATCTCGTAAGATATCGAAATTTGTAGAAAAATTGTTGTTTAAATAAGTTATGGGTTACAATAAAAGATATTGGAGGTTTTAAAATTCATATTTGCAAGTTAGGTCTAGTACTAGATTCTAGATGAGGAAACGCTACTGATGGAAGTAATAAACTTCTACAACTTGAGGTAGCTTATCTGTGTTCCAAGTAAGCCTTTCACACGAGTGCTGGTAATGGTTACGCGAAACAAATCTCATGGAGACAAGACTGAAAAGCTCAACTGTTAATATTAGCAATATAGGGGAGCGTGATTTAGCAGTTAATTATCTCTGCATAATAAAAATAAGATTCATACGTATTTCACCGGGTGTATAGCAACACAATCGTAAAATTTTCAAGTTGGTATTCATCAGTTGGAGGAACATTGGAAAACTTGGGGCACTAAGCAGCTGTTTCGTTCCAGCATGGGACTCCTCGGTGGTGTGCACCCATGACCCCTCCAGGGATTGGACCCAGGACCTTCAGGTCCCGTGGCCAACACGTAACCATTGAGTCACTGTGTCGGAATTCAATGGTCCATATTTCTAGCTTCTGTCAGTTCACGACATAGTGCGACCATCACCCAATGTCATCGCTGAGTATTTGCTTTCACATCCACTAAGTTTGCCCCATCGGGGAGGATTGGGGTCATGAGTGCGCACTCTTGAGGAGTCCCACACTGGGACGAAACAGCTGTCCAGTGCTTCAAGTTTTCCAATGTTCCTCCAACTGGTGAATACCAACTTGAAGAATCACTTAATCATCACAAACCCCCAAATTCAAACAATTGTAAATTCCGGAAACTCATTACCATGTACTTCAATACTCGACTATTAAAATAAAAAAAAGGAACTCGAGATAACAGCATTTATAATCTTTCGGATAGTTGAAATTTCTGACTGTTCCATTTCGTGATGTACAAACACAGGGTTGCAATGGAGTTTTTTCTAATTTGGGAAATACATTGTCATTTTTACTAATTTATTTCACTATCCGCTGATTTGTTGACTGGTTCAAGATTCAGAATGGATCTTCGAAATACGACTGTATTCATCATCTGTCTTATTAAAATATTGATTATTGTTATTTTATCACAGAAGGTTTACTTGTATTCACTAAGCTTATTTTTATTGTTGGAGTGTGAAGGTCAAAACTAAAAGGAGGTTGTAAACACATGAATCTAATAGAAACTACTCAGAGACTAATGTTATCTTTGCTTTAGCTACGTTTAATTTAAGTATCAGAAGTAACACCAAACTGTCGGAAACTGAAATAATCAAGGTAACTTTTACATCTATGAGTTTGAGGTTGCATTTCCCTCAGTAAGTAGGAAACTTAGTCGTTCACAGTATATTTTTCATCTTTAAAGAATTTCATAAAAATACTTTGATTTTTTTCTGAAAATTAATATGAGTTCTCAAAGGAAAAAAAATTGTTTGTTCTTTTTAACTGATTATTTAAATTATTACACCTATAGACAACACAAAAGTGCCCATTAAACGTGTAGCTTTGAAATTGTAAAACGAATTACATGTTTCTGTAACCATTAAGTGATTGGTAGATTAAAAGTATAAGTAACTAAGTTTGTATTAGTTGGTTTACACAGTAAACAACTTAAAACAGCGTAGTTTGAGAAAAAACAGAATGATACAAGGTTAAGTAATCTTCAACACAACAGTTAGTCATAGAAGATTAGTGATTTTCGGTATATGAGTCATTATATTCACTTACATAATACAATCAAAATATCGGTAATCTTCAAAAGTTGGAGTAGTACTACTCAATATCTGGTATGCATGTTTTACAGATCTTTTAAGAGAGAGTTCTCTTTCAATTAGTTTTTCAGTCGTAACTGCATTACACTGGGGGAATAATAAATTTCTTAAGGTTTACGGAGATGACTTTCAACCAACGGGTTAAGGGTTCGAACTCTGCCGACGTTTGGGCAACCAGCTAGTGTCATTAGCCTTCATTACCTAATATACGATTGTTTACTCAAGGTTGTTGAGTATATTTGGAATTACGTCACATAAATATGAGTAATTTTTAATACCGCTAATTTGCTTAAAATATAGGGGATTATAATATAAAATAGTATGCTGCATTTTTACTGTATTGAATCGCTAAACTGATGCATCAGATATCTTTTTATTTTGTCAGTTTTTCAAAGATTGATGTACAAAGCGTTGGTATTTTACTTTCGTGAATAATTCTGTCTACTCTCATTCCATGGTACATTTAATTCCTTAACATAGAAGTAAAATATTGGGCACTGTGGTACATTGTAATTCCATTTTAGTCGCTTTATTAGATAGGTCACACAGTGAAATAGTATTAATAACTGGATAACGTTTCGTACATAATATGATGAAGAATTTAGAGAAGAACTCGGCTATAGATATGCATGCGATTGCACACAATTGAGTGGGGAGACGGGGTAGTATCAAAAAATAACTTTGTTGGATGGGGGAAGAGAATAATGACCGATCAACTCGACACCGAATACCTGGAATAGGAATGATTCTGCATCTGTTTCAGTTGTATAGAAATTTCAACCACCCTTGTCACAAAAAAGAAAAGGGAATAAGAACTATATAAGTCCTGTCTGAAACTTGTGGAGTTACTTGATATAAATATGGACAATAAACTATCTAGAACGCTATCCAGTAAATAATACCGTTTCACTATGTGACGCATCTGATAAACAAATGAAACCAGTTTTCAGCTACAATCCAATTTCTTTATTCAATTATAGGAACTGGTGGGTTAGCTCTACTCGGGACAGGTACATTACATGCCTGGCCAGAAAATCTTGAAAATTTACAGTCAGTGTTGGGAGATACAAGGTTCATAAATGCAACTTTAATGGATGATACTGCTTATCGGTAAGTTGAACTTGCATAGCATATAGCAAACGCTGATCATCACTAAATTTTTGGATAGTCTTCAACTTGATTCCTGTTCACCATATTTTTATTGTTATTTGTCCCTTGGGTTCCTAATGAAACATAGGGCTTCACTAGCACGCCTCCAATGTGCTCTATTCTCTGAAATCTTTTGAACCTGGCTCCACGACAGCCCAGAAGCTCTCATTTCCTCCTCGCACGACCTCCTCCATGTCACCCTTGGACGTCCAACTCGTCGCTTCCCATCGGGGTTCCACTCGAGGACCTGGCGCATGATGTCCTCAGTCGGCCTTCTCAGTGTATGCCCAACTTAATCCATCTCCACTTCCTTCCACTGCATACTTGTTGGACGATAGGTTGTTGGTTGGTTCGTTGACAGGCCAGAGTTCCTTGTTGCTCATTCTTTTGGGCCATCTGATCTTCAGTATCGAACCAGCGTAGGCAGTTGTTGATGAATGTCTGTAGTTTGTTGGAAATCCCTTTCATAACGCGCCAAGTCTCTGAACCATACAGAAGCACTGACTTGACGTTGATGTTGAAAATCCGGATCTTGTCCCAACATGCTGAGCGCAGAAGATCTCCACACCGGTTTCAGGTTAATGAACGCCTGTCTTACTTTGACGTCCTCGTCTGTGCCGCCGCCGCCTGTAGTTGAAACAGTGCTTCCTAGATAGGTGAAGGAGGTTACTTTCTTTAAGTTTCTCCCGTTGATGGTGACTGGAGTTTGTTGTTGTTGTTGATGGTGATGGTGCGGTATCTTCATCACCTCTGTCTTCTCTATATTCACTTGAAGTCCCATCTTCGCTGCCTCTTCTGCCAACTTGTTAGTTTTCGCCTGTAGATCTTCAAGATTGTGCGACATCAGACACAAGTCATCGGCGAAATCCAAGTCTTCTCGGTTCTTTTCTGAGGTCCAGCGTATATTCATCATATGCTACTTGCTATTATAAGCATTATTTGATTAGTATGTGTAATGTATCGCTTTTTGCTTTCGTTACTATTGCATTTCAAGTATACGCCATTAGAAACCACAGCCTGTGTTTAGAACTAGCAATATCTCCCACACTTATTACTTCTCAGAAAAGGTGTAATAAAAATGACCAATCCCTCGTCTGTTAAAGTTTACTACGTTCATATTATTTTGTCTTGGAAATTTTCTTCATTAAAGACATACCTATAAAGAAAGTTGGTTGATAATATAATTCATGATGACTTAGTAGAAAAATCAAACAATGGAGATATAGTCATTCAGATGTCTTTTGCGGTAGGCGATTACATTGCTCCATTTTCTTCATATGTAGCTACATTGGTACCAGATGAGTTAAAATTCCCACCTGTCGTAAGTATATGTAGTAATCGTATTTTACGGTGTTATTAAAGACTAGCCATGAATCTCCATGAATTTTCACTTTTTTACCGACGGGTGAAACCGAACGCAGGCAGTTTGAATTAGAGATATTTAGATTTATGTAACCGAATAATTTAATCAGTAGAGTAATTAAGCATTCATACAGCTTTCCTCTGTAATTCTGTGTAAAAGTGTATTTTGTCACATATATTCCTTGTTTTCTTTAATTTTGATAAGGCACACATTCTGGGCGGCTTTTTCAACTGGGTTAGGTGCTGTTTGGCATGAACTTGGACATTGTTTTGGATTAGAGCACTATCCTGAAGGAATAATGTTTCGCGGTGATGATATTAACCTATGTATTGGGTTTCCACCTGCTGGTTCTGTTTGTCCACATGAACTCAGGAGTAATGGTAAAGTTATTCAACCTTCAAATCGATCCAATAGTCAAACTTCTGCTAGCTTTCATGGAAATATCCTTTGTAAAGTATGCCGCTCTTGCTGTACTGTTATTGTTAGGTGACTTTCAAACGCCTATAAATTTAACTAGTTATTCGTATGCTTATTTCCATGACGTGCTTGAAGGGTGTTTTGTTGACATTCAAAATTACGTTTGGTTCAATCGTTGGCACTTGAAAAACTATTGACTGAAAACACCTCTACACTGTCAGCTACACTTTATTACTGACAAGATTAGAACATCAATTTACATACAATACTGTTGTAAATTAATACTTTAAGAATCTAGCTATAAGTGAACTATAATACGAATAAAAGTTATGATATGATCCCTGGCGGGGTTATGGGTGCGCACTTTTGAGAAGTCCCATACTATGACGAAACAACTGTCCAGTGCTCCCTGGTTTCCAATGTTCCTCCAACTGATATTAGTTCATGATAAATACCAACTTGAAAATTCAGTGAATCCTCACAAACCCCCAAATCCAATTATGATATTTTGTTGACTAATTCAAGTACCCATTTCAGGATAAATTACTGACCGATAGTTGACATCTTATTTGTAATTGACGACTTTAGCGTATTGTGAACAATAAGTGTATCTGTATATTTCGTACAGAAATTTATTCATTCGTTATCAAAATCAAATTAGCTTTACTGAGGTGATTCGAAAATTTTGGGGATTCGTAAACGTTTGACATCTGATTGAAGTTCAAGAAAAGCACAGTAAGGAAACTATGTAGGCTACAGACCTAGACAGTTTTATCAGACCTTCTTCCTCCATTAAGTTCTCAGATTAAGGCACTAGACAAGTTCTGCAGTGTTTTATATGTTATTGATCGTATTACTTATGAGTAGTTGGTGTATTATACGCACACTTTCTTCTGACTGGCTGTCTGTTGTTTCTGAACACTTGGTGTTATCTCATTGGTCGAAGTTATGATTTAACATTTCGGGATACTAAATTTGTCATTTTCACTCTTTATCAATGGTAACTTGCACGTTGTTTGCCACTGAATCACCTCTATTGTCAGCGTATAAATTTATTCATGAAATGTTATTAAATATAAAACCATTAATTAATGTTATGAGAAAACCAGATAGTCTTCTGACTTAACACGACTCTCGGGTGAGTTTATTCAGGGGAAACTTGCAGGTTCCTTAACCAAAGGTTAACATTTGACTCTGTCAATCAGAAAGGCTTGTGGCAGCGTGTTATACGAAACGGATACCTGGTAGTCATGTGATGGTAATGAATGGTCAGTGCTTAGCATTTGTGTTAACAAGTCAAGCAACATCTGTCAAGGATATCAATTACAACTTTATGGTTGGTGCCTCTGTAGACAACTATTTCTTTCATCGGTTTCGTACAGATTGACACACTATTGTAAAGATTCGCAGGCTATTTACTTCCGGCTGACGAGTTCCAAGTAGGACGAAACGCACGTCCTGGATTTTTCTGCTAGCCACGACCAAGTAAATTACCATAATGAGTATTCGGGTAATATCGAGGCATCTGCATAGGGAGCCCGTATGCCAACAGAGGTCGAACAATTCGATCCAGTATAACAACTGAGAATTACAAGTATATCAACAAATAGTTATAACTAATACCCGTTGTACAAGAGGTGGCTCTTGTATCTCAGTGGCCTAGTGGATAACGCTTTCATATCTGAGGCGATGGGTACGAGGTTTGTGTCTCAGTGGGAACAACATCACTCACTGGGGTGCAGGTATATCCAACCGACGAGTCCCAAATAGGACGAAACGCACGTCCTAGATCCCTCTGCTAACCACAACCAAGTAAATTACTATTTACTACTGTTAGATGGGAATACTGACAGTATAGTCCGTCGTACACGTTGGTCGTAGATGTGAGTATCTTCAATAGGCTCGTTTAGCGTGTACCAACCTGGGGTACACACATCATAGGCGAGATGTTCAAGTGGGGCTATTTAGACCGAATTATGTTGTTTAACTGTCCATTCTGTGAATAAAGTAGATGTTGGTTGAAAACTAATACAAACGTTTACGGAAATTCGTCAAACGTAATTCAGTTATGCTAGAGCACTTCTATTCAGTCAATTTTCACACTTCAATCCCCAGTATAATACTGACTAAACGCAATATGCTGATTTGTCTGCTGTATCATTTGAGTATTGTGTCATATTTTTATACTTCGACTGGATGTCTTAAATAGTGGTAGTCAAAGTTGACAACAACACTCCTTTTATTACAAGAAAATTATACTGCAAGTTGTTATTCATCGTAGACTGACATCAGTTGGAGGAACAAAAGAAACCTGGGAGCACTGGACAGCTAAGCTGTTTCGTCCTAGAATGGGACTCTTCAGCAGTGCGCACCCACGAACCCTCCCTTAAAATTATATTGATAAAAATATTGATGTAGCAGTAAGAAAAATCATTCATTTATATTTGTAGAAATCGTTTGTTTGTATCTTTTTTTTCAGTTTGAATCATCAAAACGGGTGTCCCGAATCGTACAGTTCCATCGAGTAATTCAATTTCTACCAGTCAACTCCAGTTTATATCCCTCAGATCATTTTCTCAAGGTAGAAGAAAATAAATCTAAACAATGGGGATTCTGTACCTCTTTATGGCATCAAGGATCTGCTTTTTGGGGATCAGAAGCACTTTCAAAGTTAATTATAAGTCCGTAAGTTTCACTCAGAAAATAGGTGAACCGATTCTAGTTTTAATTTGAATATAGAAGAATCTTTGAGTTAAAATAATTTCTATGTATTTGACATTCAGAATTGAGACTAGTTTTAAAGTTTGTATTCTGTTTAGAATAATCTATCCTACTAATTTCTAAGTTTCTTCTCCTTAGATGGATAATTGAAGCATCAACTCAAGATAAAGACTATACGTTGGCTATAAACTGACAGTTGAATAATTACAAATTTGTATATCTGGTTCGATTGATGACTGTTTTTTCACTTGATTAAGAAATTTTATCCGCTGTGGGGGTTTAGCTAACTTTGCATATGTTTTTATGCTTGTATACTACGCTGTTGTATCTAACTCTATGTTTTTAAACGTTCATATACTCTGTCGATTTCTGTTAATTTGGATACTTTTAATCGTTATCACAGATTTCTTGATAAAGGGGATGATATTACTGATTTATTGTTTATTGATTTCAAAATAACAAGACAAGTATTTCATATAGAGACTTTTTTTTACTTCAAGATTTCCTTTTAGCCTAGCAGTTGATTGATTAATTTTACTCTAGTCTTCTTTGTTCGGGTTAGTGTCTGAATCAGGGATTGTATCGGCATCATCAATGACCACTGCAGTACTACGTTCCAGGGAATAATGAAGGGAAACTCTTCCAAATCTCTAATAATACTTCACTTCTACAAAAGCTGAAATAAATTCCTTGAGTATTGTTGATATAACTATTATTAAATGGGCTTGAGTTTATGGTTATTACTTTTATTATACCTCCCAAAGTATAAACGACCTCATCAACGGTACATAATTTGCAACAAAGTTAGGTTTATGTGTTTGTTACCTGCATTTGTGTGAATCTAACCGAACTGGTCTGAGTGTTGGGAATATATTCCTCAAATCTGTGACTAAATTTAATTGACAATAAGCGAATATAAATAGAGTAAGGCGCAAAGCTGAAAAATAGAAAAAAAAAAGAAAAAGTCGATATTTTACGATTATTTGTCATGTTAGTAAATTCATGAAACGTTTTAGCACTTCAGAGTGACTCATTTGTAGTAATTGAGTTTGTGGTATTATATTTACGCACAGAGATTAGTTGACGAATATTTTTATACTACTGTGAAGTGTGGCAACTTGTCAGTCAGTCGTTCAAAATTACTGCCACATCATTTTGTACCACTAAGTTGAATAATCTCTCGGGAGTCGAAAAGTACTAACGTGACACAACTATTCTTCATCCTACGGTGTTGCACCATACACTGATCACCTCTGTTTCTTCCAAATAGTCTTAGGGCTAGCAAACAGTCAGCAGTATGGAGGTCTGTGGGACGTCACCTGTAACATATGTTCAAACCTTTGAAGCCTGTCTCAAAGTGACCTTACTCACTGAATAATCTCCATCATACATAAGCACAAAAGGAAGCGAAATCATTCCTCTTGCTTGGTATTTGGTCATCTAACCAAACCTGGGCCAACATGGCTGTTTATGGGGATCCACTGAAGGGGTGCAACTTCGGTTGCAGTACCTAATGCCGAAACCAGCAGGACCGGTAGCAAATGCCACAGTTTCCCCTGTTCAGTGCATGGTAGGCCTTGCATTAGAGATGACAGGTGGGGAAGTTAATTGAAGTCTTTCATTAGAACTTTGTACACTGGTCTCTCAGATGCACGGTACATCCCTTAGCGAGCCTTTCCAAACCTGTCTGTTGTTTGATCTTCATCAGGGTCAGAAAGTTGAATTTCTTCAACGGATTTATCGACATAAGATTAAATATTACTCAATAGTCTGTTTCAAAGTTCATGCAATTATTTGTCAACCACGCTTATTTCGTAAAGGTCAATTTCGCTACACATTTTTAAAACTATCGTTGGTAAATTGTTGTTCGAGCCTATAGTTCAGTGATTGAAGTCTGAGGGCTTAAATTCAATAAGCCATATTTACTCAAACAATGTAAAATTTGACCTGGTTTCCTAAAAATAATTTAGTTTCAGGGTAATAAAAATTTCTCACAATCATCATTTTTTCAAATAAAGATGGGAAAACTAATGTTTCTTTGGCACCTCACACTTTTCAGATAAGATCTTACCAAAGTAATGTAGCATTTATAAAGGGGGAAAAGTGTAGTTGTTGTCACTATACTTCTGATTTTCCAGACAATTCTCCACATTTTGTATCATATATATATATATATATATATATATATATATCATATGATAAGGAGTCGAAACGTATTTAGTATTTGAATAGGGAAAATGCTAGGTTTTTACTGAAGGAATGTTTATGCAATAGTAAAAACGTTTTTAACTAACTTGGATCATTTGCTAACCACACTGATAACTGATGAGCTGCTTTAAATCCAAGAAGAAAGTATAAGTTCCCTAGGACTGAGAAAATTCCACTGATTGCACAAAGTAACAATGACAAACGACGGATCCATTCAACAGAAAGCTGACAACGCTAAAGAAGTTGTACGAAATTAAAAACAATTTTTAGCACACTTGTTGACCATTAAGTATTTTACATAACATGGCTCAGACTATTTATTTCCTATTATCGAAATTCGACTATTCATCACTGCTTGCAAAATCGAAAAATTGGTAGCAACACCTACGGTATGTAGTATGCAAACAGGTTCTCATATTCTCAATCCACAAAACGTACTAACATTTATACGATCTAAATTAATTGTGAAGATTAAAATGAGCTCTTGCATCACACGTTGCAAAATGATTGCATGAACCAGCTGAGTAACGAGAGAGTGTGTTATTTAAATCATAAAAATGCAAAAGAGAAGATAGGTGCCCAGTTCCAAGACTCTAGAGTCTTAACCAAGTCGTTATTTAAATGTGTAGTTGGTGACTTAGGAAGATGAAAGACAGGCAGCATAGATGAGGGACTAACTGAAATGAATGAGTGAATTAAAAGGGGAACAGAACTGCTATAATTTACACATAAAATTATAAATGTGTGACTCAATGGAGACATATCCCTGATAACTAAATAATGGAATAGCCATATGCTGACTGAACTAGTGAAGTACACTGCTCAACGGTGAGAATGCGATTAAAATTCTGTCTAATCCTCATATTTTCAGTGTTTATTTTTTTCATACTAGTTTTGAGTCGAACTTTAACCTAAATTTAGGTAACTTTGGTAGTTTCTTTCCCTCCATTTTCTGACTTGTACCCATAAATGTATGGTTGAGTATTGCAATCAAAATTACCATATTACATAAGTGGTTTAAAATGCATTCCAGTCGGTAGTAAATGTTCGGCTATTAACGATGTATGCCGTAAACGACTTTTAAGTTTTTAAAAAATATTTGAGCAAACTGGAAGATCTTAATTGTTCATCAGTAAAGTATTCCAATTATATCAAGTGAATTATTAGCATTGCATATGATATCGTATTACATCATATACAGAAGTGGCGCCAGGCTAAGTTCATTCCTCGCTCATTACAGTATTGTGTAGTTTATTTAATCGACAGAGGTAGTATATAGATAGAAATCGTGTTAGAACAACCCGTCATTATCTTCTTTACAGATGACTGCGTACAAACGAAGCTCCTAGCAAATCTATGATATAAACCAGATAGACTGTTAGTGTTAATCGGTACAACTTCATTTAAACGAAAAGACTTACTAATTCCAAACCAAATTTAGTAGACTGGTAAATCCACTTGACTAGACGTTCAGAAAATAAAAGTAGTAAATTAGACGACAACCAGATTACTGAAGGAGAAAAACACATAAGAGAAAGTAAGTATATTCGTTATTACCTTAAAAGCATAATTAACTGTGTTTATGTAATAAAAAAGAAACGCAAGTATTCATGTAACGATCTGATTTGATATTGTTATAGCCTTCAGTTTGCCCCAGTCAATCAGTCATATAATTTACACAGCTAATTATACATACAAGTATCATACTTTCTTTCGAAGACAAAAAAATGTTAGAGGAATTAAAATCCATAGTGAAATATCGTGATTAATTCCTGATTACAGTTGCTTGTCTACTAAGATCATATAGTACTCAGTTATTCAGAGTCTCTAAGTTAACTGATCTCAAGTTAGTTTCGTCCTAAACGAATGCAAGCGCATCGATACTTCTATGTTTCCTCTATACTCCAAACACCATTGAACCTTTGGTGAAAGTCAAAGAAACCTTTGTTACATCCTTCAGATTGAAAGCTTTTGAGTTTACACCAATTGAATTAACCGACTCAACCTCATTTGACTTATGGAAGAATAATTCCATGTAAACAGCGGAGAGGCAAACCAGAGTTAGAGTATTTTTTATGTTTACTTGAGTTTTTCGTGAATGCGTACTGATAAAGAGTTTCTTACTATAACGAAACAGCTGTCAAGTGCTCCTAGGTTTTCAATGATTCTCCAACTGATGTCAGTGCGTGATGAATACTACCTGAAAATAATTATGCTTTTCAAAAGCATAACTTCGTTCAACGACACCAAAATATAACCAGGTTTATAATAATAATCGCTATACATTTTCAAGCGTAATTAGAATTCAGTAGGGGTGCGATGGAAAGCTGAATGTTCAGTTTGATAACAAGAATCACTAATGTTGGAGTGTAGTCCTAAGTTGTGGGTTAAATACTGGAAGTCAAGATATTTAAGGCGGTAAATTAACCAACTGAAAAAAACAACCTAAAGATAAGTATAAGCCTTTAGGGTGACTGGAATAGTTTTAGGTTCACGATACTAGACAATACATCACCTCGTAAGACATTCTTCGATTATTCAACAAAAAGCGGGTCTATCAATTAGAAATTCGCACATAGGATTCACATACACAGTTACTCGTTTTATATCTATATTCTTTACACATCCCTGAACAATGTAATGCTGACTCGACTAACGGGAATATTCTAGGTTGCTAGAATGATCCTCATACTATGACTGAAGTTAAAGGAAAATCTTGGTCGTTATGGGATTCAAACCAACAACTTCCCCATGTATAAATGCAACTTCTATGCAGCAAGTACAACAACTTATTCTAATACACTGGGTATTGAACAAATGCGATTCCGCAGTTTCTAATGAAATTAAGCAGGTTCTTTTATTAAAAGGTCGTGTGATGTAATCATGTCTTTTAAGGTAGCTAGCTTTAATAATTAACGGTGCTAAAGAAATGCTGTGCATATGATATTATTAAAAAAGGCTGAATAACAGAAGTTCATTTTTTTGCTTTCATATTATGAAATGCTTCTTTCGACGTGCACTTATTCTAACCGTAGGCAATGAACTAAATAAATAAAAGTTTGAAGGAAGAACAAGAAGTATTTCAGTGAAGTCTCTTTTCGGTGATTTCATTTTCAAAGCTGTACAGTCGCAAATTTATGCATTTTTCTAGTGTAAGGATTTCATAGTTAAAAACGGTTTGTCAAGTTGTCATTAAAATAAAAAAAAACCGAGAACTGATGAGTAGCGAATATTAATCAAAATAAGTTTGAACAAGAGATTCGGAAACTGAACTATGATCAGGCAGGACATAGCAACAAGAATGAGTAGCAAATTACTTAAGAAGTCAATAGTATCAAAACAGAAAGATGAAAAGAAAAAAAAGGGGACAGTAGACGAGACTGAAAACTAAGACTATGAAAAGAGAAGGTTGAATAATCTTTTGTGTACACAGTTCAGGCTTCTCTATTTGGATCGCAAGAGCTTCGGGGATGCAGAAAATACGAAGACATACAGCCTTTGGGAGATTTCTTATCACTTTATAGATGGCTTTAAATGAGGAGATACTTAAGATAAGGTGATTCCTGTTCACGATGTGTTCAATTATAGTACTCCTTATCCCTCTCTATTGTTACCTCTTTGCAACCACGTGGGATAGTATTCTTGACCCTTTTGGATAACATTCGTATAAAAAGACCTATACATTTGGCTCCATAAGAGCAGGTGAATTGATATATACACATAGAAGTGGTCAGATATGAAAGTTTCTCCTTTGAGTTGTTGGAAATCGTTAGGCGATAAGAAAATACTAGTCAGTGTTGATGCAAAAAATTTTCTTCTTAGAGCATTTGATATCCTCCTTTTTAGAGTGTTAGTGTCAGAGTCACCTTTGAAGTTTAGATTCATATAGAGTGTCTTTTTATCATGGTGGTAAAGTTCTCTAAACTTCTCTTTTCATTTTTCTGTTTTGACACTATTCAATTCTTGAGCAATTTGCTAATCATTCTCGTTGCTATGCTCTTTCTGATCACAATTCAGTTTCCAATTATATCGTCAAATTAGTTATACCTGGTGAGGAAGAGAGAATGCATCATTTCAAAGCTACACCTGACTCATTTTGTTAAAACGAGGAGGTTGTGATATGCAGTCAGTCAACCAACTTCAAAGTTGTATTTCGGTTGAAGCAGAAGTTGTTCAAAAGCATAGTTATTTTCCGAAAATTCCTACTCGGAGCCATTATAAACTAGATTATTTTCAATCGTAATTTTGATAATTTCAAACCTCATGAAGAATCTCGAATTCAACCCCATAAATTCGTGCTCTCAATGGTTTATTCCTAAGTTTAGTATGGGAAAATAAACATACACTCACTCCCGCAGATATTCTGAGTTTCTTCCCCTTTATTATTTTCTTATTTGTATCTGGAGGTTTGTGGAGATTTACTAATTGATTTTAGGTTAGAATTCATCATGGATTGGCATCAGTTGGAGGAACACTGGAAACCTGGGAGCACTGAACAGCCGTTTCGTCCTAGTATGGGACTCCCCAGCAGTGCGCCCCACCCTGCCAAGGATCAAACCCAGGATCTTCAAGTTCAGCTACTCAACGACTCAGCTGATAAGAGTAGGAAATATAGATTATTGGATTTCGATCCAGTAGCTTAATAGTAGTGTGCTGACCACGGAACCTGAAGGTCCTGGGTTCGATCTCTGATGGGATCATGGGTGTTTTCTTATTTGTTGGTAGTTATATCATGATAGCATCACGGCTAGTAGATATTAGCATAGTATAGCTTTCATGTGGCTGTTAATTTATGTCAAGGCATTTTTTACGAAGAATGAAAAAGGGATGGGGTAAGATAAATAAATTAGGATAACCCAATATTTAGAACATATAAGGATAGTAAAAAATAATATATTTTCACACCTCCGTTGGTACTAAAATGAGACGGATATTACCTAGGTAGAATAAATTATTTTTGAATACCAGAAGGGGGTTACACTTTCGTATTGCTAAGGCTCCAATGAACCTAAGTAAACGGATTTTACACAGTGGTTTAAGGGCTGTTTCGGGATCACTCCTGTGACCTGTTTCTATTATGTATTTACCAAAAGAGAATGACGTCTGTCTGCTCCTGTTCTCATCGGATTATTTGAATTTAATCGCCTTTCTAACCATTTGGGGATATGCTTCACCACTTTCGACTTCAAAGTTCGATGACTCCTCTCAATGTTTTGATAAGTAAATGTGTGATCAGATTGTTCGTAATGTATTCCACGAATGCATCAGGTTCCTCAGATAACCTCCGTCTTTTTATTATATCATGCAAATTCGTCAAAGAGACCAACTGTTTCAAATTGTTTGATTGCGAATGGCGTCGTGTTAATCTACATCTGTACCATATCAGATGTAAGGTGACAAACTGCCTGTACATAAGCAGAATGAAGCGTGATGCTCGTTTACGCTGATAGAATGTATAAGTAAAAACTGTAACTTGAAGCTTAACATATGATGTGTTACTTCACTTTGTCCAGTGACTCAATGATAGTGAATGCCGTTATCTTGGTGCATAAAGTTCTTTCATTCCCATACAACTACATTGAACTTGTTAATGACAATCGCATCTACCCATTATATGCACGTAAACGATCTCTTTTAGGCTTTTATCAATATAACGTGAGGCGAATGAAAGTATACTATGTACACTAGTTGTAAACGACTTTTTTGTAGGATCATCATCATGTAATAAGAAAGTGGAAGCAGATGAAAGCGTTTTATATCAAAGGAAGATAACTTTAAATTTTCTGATACAAACTGAACGTAAACTGTAGAAGTTGAGAACGATACGAAAATCTTAGTCCTATTACTGTAACAACGTGTAATGGCCTGTATACGAGTAAGTATGTGTATTCTGCACCACTAATTAAAAGTAACTGACTATATATATATATATATATATATATATATATATATATATATATATATATATGTATATATGCCAAGAGTCCGTTGAATACAAACTATGCATATTTATACTAGCATGCTGCCTCAACAATTGGATTATTATGGATAGCAGTGCTTTGTAATCCCTTTTTCACCTAAATCTACACACAACTACTCGAGAAGATATAGGCAAAAGAGCATCTGACCGTAACTAAGGATTTTTATATTCAGAGGTTCAAAGCATATGATCTGCATTTCTCACTTTAAAAGGATAATGATGTACATTTGTCTGTTTGAAAAGACAAATTAGTACATTCAATAAATTGATCCAAAACTTAGAAAATGCAGTGGATGATGAAAACATATACTTACTGTTTGTTTTATCAATTCCGTGATATAACAGAACAAATGAATAAGACAGGGTAAGTGCCAGTACAGTTTTAGCAGCAGGGTAGGAATTTACGAAATTTGAATATTGATAAGCTGAAGGGAATTCGAATCTCTTCACAGGGATAAAAATGTAACTAAAATAAAAGAAACAAAAAGAAATTGAATAACATTTTAAAAACATAAAAAAGTTTTCCTTCGAAATAGTTAGACAATAAATGTGAAATTATATGGGACATGTTTTTATGGTTTTTGTTACTTTACAAAGGCTCACTGGTGCACTTTGGTGATTAAATGACTTTGTTTAGCATCATACTCTTATAGTTGTAAAAGGAAGTATTTTGAAAGGTATTAGATGGATGCCCGTCTGATCATCACCTAAAATGAAGTCAAATGATTCACAGTACATGTTGGAAAAAAGAGTTACGACACTCTTTTGTACGGGCAATAACTAAACAATTCAATATAACCCGTAATTTCAGCTAGATAGTAGTGATGGCTAGTGGATGGCAATGGAATCTAGAATGAGTGTTTCGTTATATCTTAGACTCGTCAGTTACACTTACCTACCTCCCAGTAATTGGTCTTGTTCCCATTGACAAAGCAAAAACAAGATTGAATTTCAGTCATATTATTAGTCACTACAAGAAATTTGAGACTAGAGGACTCAATGCATTTGAGATTTCATGATTAGCTTTCTGATGAAGAACACGCTAAATGTCATCAAAATATACCATGAACAGTTTTGAATTCGTATAAGCAATGAAAACCATTTGAATATACTGCCTAAGACGGTATTCAGATTAATTCCGAATATTAAAATCAACGATAGTTGCTGTTCAATAGTTTTAACTTGGTAACTAACCTGTTGCTAACAATCTGCTTATATACTTACTCTGTGTTATCAAATTTCGTATCAACCAAGGGAAGTAGGACTAAGATTTTAGCTGAAATGAACAATTGAGCAAGCAGATTCAGATCAAGTATTTTTATAATTATTTATAAAAATATATCACAGAGAAAATAATATCGTATCCACTTTGCTTGAAAATAGACTTTAGAAGTAATAGTGTAGTGTGCGTTGCTGATAAGAATGGATATAAATAGTATATATTGAGAGGGTGGCAGAAATCATAGGGAATTACCAGCAATGAGTAAGGATTCCGCCAAGAAAAACGCAAGAGACAAAGTAGACGTATGAAGAGCAAATCAAGAAAGAAGCGGAAGAGGAAATGAAGTATATTTTGCAAATGACGTTTTTAGTGCAAGGTATACCATATTTAATCACTATTGTCTCGCTTGGTGACAATACACATTCCTTCCTGCGTACCTGTTTTTTGCTTCTATCAGTATTATCAAAAGTACGAATTAAACTAGGTACCTAGATAAGATTTACACTTTTTAATATCAAACTTTTGGAGATTAAACTATTAAGTGTTATAGTTAGAATGTTTCAAGTTGCCATTCATCATAGGCTGACATCAGTTGGAGGAACAAAGGAAACCTGGGAGTACTGGACAGCTGTTTCATCCTAGTATGGGACTCCCCAGCTGTGTGCACCCGCGACCTTCAGGTTCCGTGGCCAGCACGTTACCACTGAGCTACTGGGTCAGAATCCGATGGTCAATATTTCCAACTTTTGTTAGCTCACGATATGGCGATATATTTAACGATATACTAGGACTAAACAGATGTCCAGTGCTTCCAGGTTTCCTTTATTCCTCCAACTGATGTCAGTCTACGATGAATAACAACTTGAAATAATTCCAAATCTTGACAACTCCCTCAAAATAGTTAAAACGTTCAAAATAGCTGCTTGATATAGCTTTAAAAAAATAATACATCTACGGGAAGAAAGTTGGCTGAAACTGTTTGAAATAATACCCCAGTCTAAAAAAAAATGATGTTTGCATTACCACAGCTTTAAGTAAGCTTAGAATTTAAAACAAAACTCTTTGAATATGATCTCATCAATAGACACTAACAGTTTATAACACACAGTAATGATTACATTAATTAACGGTGTATATCATTATTGAAAATAACTAAATGAAATTTCAGCCGTTATCCTGAATACAAATGAGTGAATAATACAATAAAGTTACAACTGGAACGTATTCATGAATGTCACTCTTAATATAAATATTTTAGTCTCATTGGGGTTATCTGATTATAGTTATCGAAATAGTTACTTCATAGAACAAGGCAACCATTCATGTTTACTTAGTTATTACAGCTAAATATGATACGAATTTCGTATCTTTGCGATGTTATACACATTACTAGTACCGATGACAATAGAATTTTTTTTTAAGTGGGACAAAAGTCAGTTTTAATTATCTATTACAGTCTACAACAGTTTTGTAGGTGGATTTTTCAGTGAATTGTCTTAACTCGAAGTCATTGAATTGATAAAGTGAATATAATGATATAACTGCTCTTCTGTTCGTAGCTATTGATTTATTCTGTCTCATTTCACTTCAGTGCAGTTGAGGAAGATCGTTGGTGATTGAAGTGAAATTATGATCTAATCAGCGATCTCAGATAGTCAATTTGACAGTTTTCAGCTTAGTAACTTTATTTTTTCTCCTATATTATATTCACTAAATTTTCATCACATTGCTGAATAAGAAGAACAATATTTTCTTTATATTATGGTTCTGAAATGGACAATGGCAGGATACACTTATTCCAAACCAAACTCCCCTCTACTTTTGAAGTATTACTTTCATTGTTCAGAACCAAAGTGAAATAGATAGATACAAAATTTACTCAAAATTATTACTATTTTTCCCTTGGGTTCCTAGTGGAACATAGGCCTTCACTAGCACGTCTCCATCTCACTATCTTCTCTGCAGTCTTTTCAACATGGCTCCACAACAGCCAACAACCTATCATTACTTATTCACACCATCTCCTCCATGTCACACTCGCCTCGGACACCCAATTCATCGTTTCCCATCTGGAGTCCACTCCACTCCAGTGCCTGGCCTGGCACGTGATGTCCCCAGTCGGCCTTCTCAGTGTATGCTCAATCCAATACATCTCCACTTTCTTCTGCATTTTTGTTGAGTGATAGGTTCTTGGTGGTTCGTCACCAGCCAGAGTGAGTTCCTTGTTGCTTATTCTTTTAGGCCATCTGATCTTCAGTGTCAGTATCGAGCCATTGTAGGCAGTTGCTGGTGAATGTCTGTAGTTTGTTGGAAGTGCTTTTCGTGACGCGCCGAGTTTCTGAACCATCATATGGAAGCACTGACTTGACTGAATTGGTGTTAAAAATCCGGATCTCGTTCACGCTTTGTGCTGAGTGTAGTGCTGTGCAATAGATCTCCATACTGGTTTCAGGTTAATGAACGCCAGTCTTGCTTTTCTGATCCTGGCTGTTTTGACATCCTAGTATGTGCCTGTACCGCCTGTAGTTGTAGTAGTATCTTGCTTGGGGTGGACAGCAGCATGATTCCTCGCCAGTTCTTGCAAAGACTTAGGTCTCCCTTCTTGGGGAGTTTGACAAGGTAGCTCTTCTCCCAATCTGCAGGTACCTTTCCTTCCTTCCAAACCTTATGCACTAGTGGTGTGAGCATGTCCGCTGTTGTCTCTGCGTCTGTTTTCAGTGCTTCTGGTAGACAGAGTAAAACAAATGACACTATCGTCCATGAAATCATTTAAACAATTAAGATCTTAATTTTATGCTTCTGATGTTCTGATAACAATCATTCCTTTTAAGAATATCCTTTGAAGGTGAAGAAAAAAACGTTTATCTTAGATGATGTTATGACTCCTCAGATTCACATTCAAAGACCTACTGAGATTGACTAAATTCTTATGCGAAAAGAATAGATAAAAAGTGGTACATCTGACTTACGATTTAATAAAATTATATAATCCACGATCGAATGATCTAAAACATCAGACAAGAAAGTAATGAATATCTGATTTTGAATTCTAAGTGAACTGAAACATTAGTATACAGTGTGAGAAATACAAGATGTAGGATTTCATTAGCGAAAACATATTAAACCGGAACATGAATAACTGTATTGTGTATACAAATGAACTACAAATAATTGGTAGTAGGATTGAATAAACTTTATATGAAAGGATCCCACTGCCTGTATCCAACATGTTGCTATGTAAGCTATATGTAGCGTAACGTTATGTTAGTGGTCATTACTCCATTCAAACAGTGTGTAAAATGAATAATTTTGAGCATAATTTTAATAAATCTCTTCGTTTATTGTAGTATTATTAATCTAGACTGTCACATTAAGCTTAAATGGTGACATGTCAGATATCAGCAGTGAGGGAGCCTAAACAATAGACAAAATTAGAAATACGTATGTCTGAATTATTTGTTTCAGAACTTAAACCAGTTTGTTATTCAAATTGTTCATCATATAAATGTATTGATATGCCATAAAGACTGTTATTGTAAGGCAAATAGTATCAATTCATTGACAGCAGAACTAAACATCACTATGTTAGTACTAATAATATGCATTGACAAATTTAAGTTGCTAAAACCTTTGTTAAAATTCCAGCATACCCCTTCACATTGTAAATCGTAAAGTTTTATAAAAAAACATATTTTTTGAATACAATAGAAGGCTAAATACATAACCTCTTAGAAAATATTTCTCGAAAATAAATTATGCAACATCTGACGCAGGCCAACATAACACTGAAGGATTTACAATGCTGAAGGTTTAAAAAAATGGAGAGGAATTTTAATCACCAACTACTGGTCATCTTCAGGTACCGTATGGTTGAATTACACTACTAAAATTCAATGAAGTCAGTAGATAATTGAAAAACTATTAAGTTACTCTTTCTAATGATGTGTTTTCCAGTGATATCAACAGGTATTATTTTGAATGATTAGGTAATAACTAAAAAGCAGCAACAAAATATCACCAGAACTGGTCTGAATGTTACCGTCATCACATAAAGCTGTAAGAATAATCTATTGGTGAATAGATAACCAGTTCCACTTAGATTATCTCTAAGAAATAAAGTACAGTTTAAATCTAGTTAGTCTGTCAGAAGTCAATCGTTTAACATCTACCTCCAACATATGAGAAGTAATAGAACGGTAAAAGTAACCAATTATATACACATATGACCTGATTTTATGGGTGTCTTTGAAGGCCACCCCAGCAACAATCGAAATGACCAATCAAGTTTTCCCATTTCGGTTGGAAAGTTAGATTTTCATAAAGTATAGAAGTCTAATTGGTTATTTCAACTGTTGCTACAGTAGCCTTTAAAGTCGTCCAATTTTAGTTGATTTTGGTTTAAATGAAGTATAACGAGCACAAAGTAATTTTTTATACCAATTGGGTTATTTTTTTCCAGTCTATATTGCATGAAGTATATCTATTAGAGAGATCACTGCGAGAGATATAGGAAACGGATGCTACAGAAGTAATGGAATCCTGAATGATATAGTACGTTGACCAGCACCAACGCAGATTGAAACGTGTCTGTCTCATGTTGAAAATTAACCTGCTTTATAGTTCAAGCGAGTAGTTAGGGCAAAAAAATGGTCCCTTGCAAAGTACAATGACTACGTGAAGGCTATGCACCAAAGAAAGTGTATCTGGATAGAAAATTCAAACTAAGATATATATGGATTGAATGTGAAAGGAGCGAAACGTCAATCTATCTTAGCAGATGATTTTTTACGGAGTTCATAGGTCATCAACGAAGTGGCTTGAGTAGTAAAGGCTTTCCCTTCCAGGATATAGTCAACCCACACTGTATCTGTTAGGTTTGTGTAAATAAGTGTCCAGAAATTTGTTTTCTGTCCACAAAAAAAGTGAAATTTCCCTCCAAATATTATTCATGAAAATCTCTCCATAAAGGGAATAACAAAAACGAATATAAACACTATATGAAGTGCTTTATCTTTGTGATAGCAATTTTCGAACTATGTTTTAACCTTGAATTATTGAAATAAGAGGAATCGACAGCCGAGAAATATTAAAAACAGACTTTTATTTGTTAGTTGAAAAAACATTTCCCGACACCTATTGAACCAACCGTAAGGCGACTGTATATGACTTTTTGGAGTATCTGATAGAGTGAACTCATTTCACATGATTGAATAGCCTATTGATAACTACTTGAGGCTGATTACTAAAACTTCTATTGTTTGGAGAGTTGCTTCTATATGTTAAAGAACCTTATCACTAGCTATTGAAAGTCATAGGATAAGGTTGTAGGTCACCTTAGGGTTGACTGTAAGAATGAGGTGTAAAAAAAGAAACATCACTCTCCGTTAGTGAAATTCTCAAGTTACAGGAAGATCATCTATAGATGACCTGCTAGTTTGCTTGCTAAAATTGAAGTTAATCTCAAAACTTTGACACTAAAAAAAAGCCTCAAAAACATTGATGTGACAAAAAGCATATAATAAAAATCGGAATAAGTCTAATCCACATTTTATTTTACTAGAACTGAGGTAACTTGGTATCTAAAAATGCCAACTTCATATCCATCAAGACAGAGATCTCCCTCCTTACCAAGTTATAGGATAGTGTGACTTTCAAAAAACTAAATGTGACAAAATCCGCAGCAAAACGGATTAAATAGCCTAGCCAAGTTAAAAGAATGTTAACTAACGAAAAATCAGTCACACATAGTTTTTTTCTCTCATTATAAGAAACGTGATGCATAGTGTTTACTTAATGGTACGAAAAGTTTAAGATGGATACATCTTTTAGTATTATCAAAATATACAACAACAAAGTACTATTCAAACTGACCTCCAACACTCTGAAATGAGAAGAAAGTGTAGAAGACATGTTGGTGGATCAGGTATAAATGAAACCTGAAGTTGACATGAATCACTGCAAAACTTTCCAGTATGATTTTCATTTTTCACATACAATCTAGTAATACTTGATACAAACTTGTGTAAAACATTTATAAGAAACCATTCTAAGTTTACAAGTAAATAAGGCCATCCATAAAATTGTAAATATGTAAGAAATAAATGTAAACCACATAGATAAATAGTTCCACCTATTGTACCACGATCGATAACATGAGAGTATTCAGTTGATTTACTGGATAAATTATAAAGTTGTACATCAGAAAATAAATAACCAAATGAATTAGGATAAACAAAGCATAAACATAACGACCAAAATGAACTCCAAAATAATAGTCGAATAGTTTTGAATATAAGTGATAAGGCTGTCGAAAAAAGTGTTTTCAGACTTGTTGACTGGTAATCACAATTTATCTAAAATTTAAAAAAATAAATATTAAATATAGTGGTATCATTTTAGCTTTATTGTCAATATAAAACAAAGTATACATTGTATCATGCTTGTTTTTATATTTGAACTGAAGAGGCAGCGAAGACGGACTTCAAGTTAAGGTAGAGAAGAGAGAGGTGATGACGATTCCCAACCAACGCCACCACCACCACCACCAACAACAAGCTCTAATCGCCGTCAGCCGGAGAAACTTAAAGGAAGTAGCCTCTTTCACCTACCTAGGCGTGGCAGCATCGTTTCAACAACAGGTGGCGGCACAGACGAGGACGTCAAACCAGCCAGGATTAAAAAAGCAAGACTGGCGTTCATTAACCTGAAACCAGTATGGAGATCTTCTGCACTCGGTATGTGGAAAGAGATCCAGATTTTTAACACCAATTCAGTCAAGTCAGTGCTTCAGAAACTCGGCGCGTCACGAAAAGTACTTCCAACAAACTGCAGACATTCATCAACAACTGCCTACAATGGCTCAATACTGACACTGAAGATCAGATGGCCAGAAAGAATAAGCAACAAGGAACTCACTCTGGCTGGTGACGAACCACCAAGAACCTATCACTCAACAAATATGCAGAAGGAAGTGGAGATGTATTGGATTGAGCATACACTGAGAAGGCCGACTGGGGACATCACGCGCCAGGCCAGGCCAGGCCAGGCACTAGAGTGGAGTGGACTCCAGATGGGAAACGATGAATTGGGTGTCCGAGGCGAGTTTGACATGGAGGAGATGGTGTGAATAAGTAATGATAGGTTGTGGGCTGTTGTGGAGCCATGTTGAAAAGACTGCAGAGAAGATAGTGAAATGGAAACGTGCTAGTGAAGGCCTATGTTCCACTAGGAACCCAAGGGACAAATGATAATCTATAATAATAATAAGAGGAAGTATTTTTCGAGGAGGATATTTGTTAATACCAGTCGAATTTAACTACTTCAAACGGTGATTATATTAAAGATAAGTAGTGCTTAGCAATGGAACCTAGGATGCAAGTTTCATCCTATTTGAGACTCGTCAGTTGGATGTGCCTGCACCCTAGTGGGTGGTGGTTGTTCCCAACAAGACTTGAACTCAGTATTCATCGCTTCAAACATCAAAGCTTGTCCTGAATTCCACAGCTAGCCACTACGAAGCAAATTACAACATAATGACCTTTGATATTTTTATAACTATTCACCGATAAAGCTATGAGTGTTTTGATACCTTCACTGTATTCTACGGTGGAAATTTTATAAGTAGAGCTCTCTACATATTTCGTAGAGTCATTTTTAGTGTAGATATTCCGATGAACTGGAAAGAACTAGATGAAATTCAGAGTAGACTGATCATTTAGTTCTGCAAAGAAAACAGGCTTTCTTAGATATAATGCTTAGCTGACGGCGGTAATTAGGTTCTTTAACCAAGACGTTATTTGTTAATGCTCGGGATCAAGAATAACACCAAGCAAGTATATTATTTTCCTTAGAGTTCTGAAAGTTTTATATAGGCTGTTTTTAAAAACTCTCATAAACTTACTAGTGGCAATGAAATTCATTAAACATATCTGATAGTTCATATCGGAAACCTAATGCTTAAAAGCAACAACAGTTCGATCATAATGTTATACTGATCTTGATAAATATTAAATATAGTAGTATCATTTTAGTTTTATTATCAATATAAAACAAAGTATACATTGTATCATGCTAGTGTTATGAATTAGCTAGTTTTAAGATTTGGGAGATGATGATATTTATTTTATATCTGAGCTGAATAATAAAAGAAGTATTTTTTTGAAAAAGATATTTGTGCGCTACTGGAATTGGTATACATTATAATAACTAACATATACACTGATATATTTTGATGTTAGTCGACTGTATATACAACAGAAGATGTAACTGAAATGAAAGATAAGTTATCCGTGATCAAATTCTTTAAAAGTCAATAAGCCATAATATCACATTATTATTCGTATATTTCCAAGGGATAAATCGATGAAGTGAACTCTTTAAATAAGTGTCCATACTAGTGAAAACAAAGGTGTTAGTTCACATTTCATCTTGTCAAGATAAAAAAATATATAATTAAAGCCTTGATTTTTATTCAGTCAGTGAAAAGTATGAAGTGAAGAGGGTATACTTATTGCATGGGTTACTTTTGGTTCTGATTTGACTGTGAACAGACCATCGCTATATTGATCTAAGCCATTTAAAAGCTACCTACAACTAGAGTTTTTAGATTGAGACCAATCCGCTCCAGAACACATAATATGAGATTTTGAATTATTTAGGCTGGTTATGATGATATCAAAATCAGTCACCTAGTATTAAGTGACTGATTAGTTAGTATGTTGTATTCTTCATTATTGCAATAACATTTTGAAGAAGATATTTTGAATACAATAGGAAAGTGTCATAGAAACTTTATGAAATATTTTATTAGGTTCTTACCCAAAATTTATTCCAATCTGAATACAAGATTAAAGGACCTAAAAATAATGTATGTGGATAAAACGAATAGTCTAATGTATCCAATAAAATATTTAATGAAAATTTAGGACAGTATTTTATCGTCGATTCCACTGTTTTATCAGGTTTACAAGATAATTTGAAATTCTTTGATAGTTTATGAAGTGATAAGGCCACACTTAAACCGCGTAGTATTATGTAAAAGTGGGCAGCATACAAAATAATAAACCATTCTTGTGACACCATACGAAGATTTAACAATGAAACCTAGTGTATTCAGAATAAAACAAGAAAAGTAATAAACAGGTATAAATTACAATCAGATATTGGAAATTATAGATAGTAATATTGTTTATCTTTCAGTATGATTTAATTTATATGAACTGGTTATAACGTTAGGAATACTTAACAAGTTTGCTATAAAAGTGAAGAGCTACGACTGATTAATTTGGAATGATAGAGAATATTTATAGATTAGGAGGATAATTTTGATGGTGTTGTGTTCTCTAAGCTGGATGGTTTAATCATGAAGTCTTCACTGGGAGTCTAGATAACATAATCAGCATAAAATTCAGAAAAAAGTCAGCTATACGGTTTCCTCCACTATTTGTTTACAAACTTGTCCTGATGACCTTGTATGTGATTGGTTGTTCCTGGCAAGGTCTACCAAGGTCAGTCAGCAATCAAAAGACATACGGACTTGACCCAATCTATCAACCAATAAGAAACGACAAAAAGGTCAAATTCCGAGTCATCCGGACAACCAATCAAACTAAATATGGAAACAATGATAAGACATCGGAAGAAACAACTAGTGAGACACAAGACCACCAGGACAAGCTACTGAATTGTGGAGAAAATCTTAAAGCTGACTCATTTCTGAATTTTTTGCTTATGATGTTGTCTAAAATGATAATGAAAGCTCCAATATTAAATCACCTAGCTCAGAGAACACTACATCATCAAAATGATTAATCTAGGGATCGAACTACCAGTCATTGACTTGGATTCAAATCAACTACACCAACACAATTCGCTTACACTTGATGGACGGTGTCAATACCAGCAGTTTATAAATGCAGTGAAGTTTTGGTAGTTGATCCACTTAGAAAGTCTTAACGTTGCACGATATATTTCAGCGCACTTTCTTGATTGTCTCAGACTGCCGTTCCCACTTGGAGGCAGGGTGAAGTCGTTGTTAGCTTTACATAACCTTTTATTAAGTTCATACAAGTATTTATGAATGCCTGTTTGAACTCAATAACTAGTATAAGATATCGGTTCAAAAACTTTACACCAAGATTGTACGAAACCATTAACTGAATAGGCAAAAACTGTCTTCGGAAATTCAAGCAAATATCACTTATTGATTCCTTGGCAAAAGTTCAGTAGAGAATAGTTACCCAGTGTCTAGTCATACATACACTATCAGTTTACGAAAGGAGTCAACTTAGATTTCGTGAACTACATCAAGACATATGTACAAGTAAACTAACTAATTTCAGGGTGATATTCATCTTCAGTGATATTCGTCAAGATGGGTTTCCCTAAGTTCTCATGAGATTCTACGACCTATAGGGCAAACCAAATCACATATGAGGACAAATAAAAACCGATAGTATTGAATGATGCCCGCACTATATTGAGAATTGACAGAAGTAGGATAACGTGGACTATTGGATTCCAACTCAGTGGCTCAATAGTTACGTGCTCGATACGAAACATGAAGGCCCAGGGTTCGATCCCCGGCAGGGTCATGGGTGGGCACTGCTGACGAGTTCTAGACTGGGATGAAACAGTTTTCTAGTGATTCAAGGTTTTTAGTAGTTCTCCAACTGATATCAGTTGATGATGAATATCACTTTGAAATCAATCAACCCCTACAAACCTTCCAGCTAAATTAATTCGCAACAGCCTTTTGTTTCATTTGCTTAGATTTTTCTAAGGGTTTATCAATACGATTTGTTTAAAGGTTAAATAAAAAACATTGCCTCATTTTCATTTGTCGGTGAATACAAACATCAACATAGTGGATATCATTCATCCAATGTTTCAATTCTTTTAGATCGGCATTGTAAAAACACAAGAACATCTGTCAGCTTTTGTCTACTACTGAAGTAATGAAAATGATAAAACTATTCTATTTTGCAAATGATTTAAAAATTCCACTGTTCATGTTGATATTCCTCACAATCGAGTAGTTTTACAACTGCCCAACTGCAGAGTAGACAATATTTCAGCTAGAAACAACTCAGCTCCGATTACACGGTGTGACCTCTGACAGAAAAATGTCATGAACTAGCGAAAGATACTACTACTAGGTTTCAGCGGAGACCTTGTTGACATCGTGGTTGGGGAGTTGAAAAACCAATCGGTTGTGATAAATGTCAACGTGGAGCATGAAACTTGTGAGTCTTCTGCAACTAGATCATTCTATATTAGGTATACTGCTTCATGCAAGTCAGCTAGCCAACCAGATTTAGGTGATCTGAAATAATTCGGCTCTATCCGAGTACACCACTGATGAGCTCAGCCCAGACCAGCGAAACGGCCATCCGGTGTTAAGATTATTCTGATCGAGTTGGCGAAATATTTCTAACTACTTAGGTTGTTCATTAGTAGTATATTTCGCTAAAACTAGTTCAATATTCATTTTTTAAATTTGAACGATCTTCAAATGTTTTTTTTAACATAGTCTTCTGATAGTAATTATCCCATTACATTTTCTTTCATTTTTTAGCCAGTTTTATCGAAATTCTACAAGTTTTTACATTCAAAAAACTTCGGGAAAGACTGTTTGCATTTGTTCACAACTACTCCTTTGAAGGTTTTCCATGCTGTATTACTTCGAAATTTGTTGGGATCCATAAAGATGACTTAGATACATACGATGTCATCATCTGAATCATATACTGTCTCTGAGACAAAATAAGTGGTTAATTACTTGTTCTTCATCACTCTCAACTCAGTGTAACTTATTATCCCCTTCATATTCTGTTTACTGCATATTATTATTCATTTTATGACTACCTTGTCTAATCAACTCATGACATAATGTGTGGGGTGTTGTTTTATATCTTTATGTTAGATAACTCGGGGAAAAAATTAATTTGTGAATTTACTGCTAATAAGTGGGTAATTTGCTAGTATAATAATTGTCAAGTTTTGAATAACTTTATGACAGTTTTGATGACAAGTCGATATCTGGTAGATAATTATTAAAAAACTAGACAACAGGTGTTTCGTCCTAGTTGGAGACACCTCAGAAGTGTATAACCACAACTGCATGTACAACCGACAATTGTGATCAGTTGGTTTCTTGCAAACTATGCAGCTGAGCTAAATATTAACCTTTTAGTGAATTCAGTTATTCGCTAGTTACATTATTCACTCTCAGGTGTCGATATGTCTGCTTCAGTACTTAAAAGCTTTACAAAGAAATATAGCTAATTTTTTTAAAAATTTACTCATGAAGTTGATAGAAAATAGATTAACTTTGATGGGAACTATATAGTTCTAACTCATGGTATATCAGTCGTATAAATGCTTTAAAGCGAATAAAACTTCCAAGTCGATATAATATATAACAGTCAATAACATTCATTGAAGAATAAATTTCGAAGTATGTTACTAATGATACTTTTGAGAATTCTACTAAAATTGATTGCAGTAATTTCATATCATACTCTAAATATGCCAAATATGTAACTGTATGATAATGGCCTTATGACTGGGAGTGAAACATACTAACCCATGGTTTATAGAGACCTAAATTTTAAGGTAGTGTAATAAATTAAACTCCATAATCTAGTTTACAATTTCAGTTGGTTTCTTATTACAATGAACTTATGTATTAAGGGGAATTCAATTCGACTTGACAGCTTTCCAATTGCTTTCGACTTTTTTTACTTTGAATAAAACGAATCTATGACAAAATTTGATGGGAAAAAAAAAAGGTTAAATGTATAGTGTAAAATTTTCAAGAAAAAAGAATCCGTTCCACTAACCTTAAAGTTTGATGAACTAATAAAGTATTCAGATAGTTGAAATATTAAAACTGTGAAAATCCAAATAAGAGTACAATTTCCAGAAACTAAATAGTATATGCATAAAAAGGACATTAAATTGAACAGAATATCAATCACAACATTAACACCAACTAGATAAATGATTAGGTAAACAGATAACAGTATACGAAAGCATTTGTGCACCTTAATGAATTAATCATAAATAAATAGATATTACCTTTCGATTCACCAAGGTAAACAGAATGGATGAAACAAGTGAGTGTAGTATTAAATAAGGAACAAAACTCATCCATAATGGAAGCACCATCCATTGTAGTTCAGCTGCGTCCTGCATTAATGTAAAATTTTGAATGATGGTAACATTCCTCAAATGTAATAAATTCAGGTAACCTGTATTAATTAGATTGTAGAGAATTATATTACCTGAGTTTCTTGAAGAAATAAACAATCTGTAGGTAGAATAGTTAAGAATAATTAAAGCGATGATGATATATATAATCCGCTCCAGACAAAGGACCATGAGATTTGAGACCATTTTAGCATAAAAATGATCTGTGACACTACTTCTACGAAATAAATGCAAAACAAACTTGATTATCTTCAAAAAGAATGTTACCACGATTTTTTTAACACATCAAGTATATAGTCTTCTAATTTAGGTAGAAGTAAACAGACAATGCATAAATCACTAAGCAATGGAATTTTTAAAGCACCAATTAGATTGCGTTTTTGTATAACGAAATTATAAGTTAGCAGTGAGAGATTTAGACTGGCATTAACTACAGTTAACTGTATACTTTAACATTTTACCTACACGGTCTTATGTAATTAATTCGTTTTGCAAAATCGACAGCTTATGAACATCACCCATTATATATTACCGTTTTTTTTCCCTTATACCCAAAATGGATCCATAAAAGCATTTAAGTAAATAAGTAACTGTCAATGAAATATATTTGTAAAATGTTAATGAAGTAGAAGAATAAATTTTTGACGTTTTGCGATTTCGTGGAAATCGTTACTTCAGAGAATAAAACTTGTACAAGTTATCGACTGTTTAAATAGTAAATGGGCCAGTTCGTGATGAATAATATCTCAAAATTAAAATCACTATTCATCTCAAAAACACATTACTGCATAGTGTGCTCATTAATAACATGCTTTCAGATAGATATCACGAAGTTCTAATCAGAAGCCGTGACCTGTGGAGTCAATCAGTCAGAAGGGGAGCGGATGCCACTTGAAGACCGGTGATAGTTGCGGGTGAATGGTTAATGCGTTCGCCGCGAAACCTGTAGGTCCTGAGTTCGATCCCTAGCCGGGTCTTGGTTGCGTAATGCTGAGGAGATCCATAGTAGGACGAAACAGCTGCCCAGTGCTTTCAAGTTTTCGATGGTTCCCCAACTGGTGTCAGTTCGTAATGAACACTACCTTTAAATATAATTTCATTTATAATCCATTTACCCAATGCTAAACTTATTCAACTCTATCAGGTCAAATTTTTATCCCAAAGTTTACAAAATAAGTAACTAGCTAGTGAGTATGAATGTTAATATATATGAAATATACCATATACTTTCTTTGGAACAAGCTTCGCAAATAATTAGCTCGAAAAAAAGCAAATTGATATCGATTCAGCTGCACTCTAAATCAAAATATCATTCTTATCTAGATGAACATTACCCAATTAATCATAATATAATGTTAAATTGACCAAGTACATTAGTTCACTACAACAACTAACTTCTACTTGGTGATCAAACTATCGACTGAAACAGAACTCGTTTATCGCATCCACATTTATGTTACCATCTCACTATATAATCTATACGTAAGATAAAAATTTATTTTTAGCCCAATAACTGTTTTCTTTCCTTGAGCTAAAAATTTTCATCAAGATGTATGCTCTTTAATCACAACTGGGAACTACACTTTGATGATCTTAACCGAAAAGTCACGTTATCATCTAAACAATAAACTGTCTTCAACCCTTATTTTATCGCATCTACAGAGTATCTGCGTAGCGAGAAAATGAATTTATTCATTACTTCGAAAACAGTACGGATTCAATAAACGGACTATTGAAATATCGCGAGAACAGATTTTGAATTATTTTAAAGTGATAAACGTCTAGATTTCAGAGACAACCAAATACTTAAATGTCTGAATGACATAGAACGTACTGATCTCACAGAGCAGGTATTATTAAAAAATGTTTATAAAGGATTTTTCTGTACTGTAAAAGTTTGAAACTATAACATAGGTGTTTTCAGTGGTTTGATTTAGCTTTGAATTTTAATGTTGCATTTCACTTTTTTTATCCGAATAGATATTCTCGATTTAGGCAACTAAGTCTTATCATTCTGTGTCACTTTCCATTACACAAGCCTAATAATATGCAGTTGTTTAGGCGAACTTTCTTAAGGTTAGTCTTCGAGATGCAGTTATACATGATATAAATGACATATACATAAAATGACACAGAATTTCTCAGATTATTTTTTTATAAGCTGAGAAATGAAATTGTTTCTAAAAACTAATGCAAATTCTTCTAACCAAGAAGGAGGCATATACGAAAAATTGCGTATCGCTTAGATTTTGTACCTAAATAAGAATGGTAGTAACCATTTTTTTAAATTCACATGGTGAATTGAAATCCACACCTTCATAGTAATATGGTATTAAAAGTCTGCTAATTAACTAAACATTGCCATTTGAACACACTTCATACATCACTTCTAGATAACTTCAGTCGGTTTTCTCAAGTAAATGGTGTGTGTAATCAATACATAAATGGTGCTTTGGACCCATGCCTGAGGTACGATGCAGTGTATTGTGGCAACTATATACAGGTCTGTATATCAGTCTATGAGCCAAACCTATGGCTTGAAGGCTTGGTAACTACTTTGCTGATCACACCTCGGCACATTAGGCAGGTTTCAAACCCGTAGCACGCCTGCTTGAAGTAAGGAACTTAGACGAATGAAGAACAGCAATAGTCTAAAATGATGTTTTATCAAACATAAATTTATACAAGGATCTAACTAAGAAACATCAGCTTTTAAATACGTGATGGTGCTGTGGTCATGTAGTTTCTCTGCTATTTTTTCCACTGAGGGGTTATCTTAACTTTTACTTTTTAAACATACAGCCAATTATTTACCAAAAAAGTAGTTTCCAGATAAATAAGCTAAACGAAAACGTTTTTGGCCTTTTAAGCAAAAGTATGGTCGTATTAGAGCATACGATGACATATTCCACGAAATACCCACGTCTATTGGTATTCTTCAAGTACGTTCACTGCCCTACTTTTGTAAAGAGTTGTCTGAGATGTGTTCACCTAACTTTACAGAGATTCCCTAACTAACTTGGAGTATGCAGACTGTACATCACTCTTTGATAAAGACACTGACGAGATCCAGAGTCTTCTGAATTTACTGAGTGACAGTATGAAAATATCTGGGGAGTATTTCTTACCTCTAACATGAACACTGCTATTTTAAAGTCTTCATGCTTTGATTTTTCATCTTACAGTAGGCAGTGAAGTGATTTGTTGCATGCACCACTTCATTTATCTAGAAATTAGGCTGACAGTGATTCGCATTTCCATGGTTATATCATCTAGGACAGTGCCAGATGACACAGTAGGAAGCAATAGACGGTTATCCTTCCAAGATAAGTCAATTAATTTAATCACTGTCCTACATAAACCTAGTTCGCTTGGGCTGGGACGGCAAGAATAAATTGCCAGGCATTTTAATGTAATAGAACAGAATAAGTGAATGTTGTTCAATCATATTCAGACTCGGTGTGAGTAGTCAGTGAGTTGAATTAAAACCAAAATTCCGTTAGCCTGTGGATGTTTCATTTCAGTTAACTAAGAGCTGGAGTAATAATCGAGTTATTGACCAACGAAGTTTTAGGATAACTATGGAATGATCGACTGGCTTTCACTAACTTACGCCAACAGTGGTGCTGAAGAGGCATCTGAATACCTATTAGAGAAAAAGAGTTCTGCAAATCAGTCTGCTCTGTCACACTCCATGGCCATGAAAAGTGGTAACTAGGGGTGGGGAAAATGATAAAACCATAAGTATTTGGCTACCATTTCTTTGGTAGCAGAGAAAAAACCCGGAAATCAACCTAGGGGCTAAGCACACAGCCTTGGGTAAGGAAGACAAGTCAGTTCAGGAGGTTATGAACCTTCAGTGACTGGGGTATATGGGACACCTACTGCACATACCAACTCACCATCTTCAACGCATCATAGTCATAAGAATGAAAGAGAAAGAAAACCAGTGATGAGTATAATAATAAATACAGCAGTTCATCAAGTTTCTGAATACGTATGTGATCTGAGTAGGAAGATGTAAGCTATCAGGTTGGGACCCACAAGACAACCGAAACAAATGATCTAAAACCTCACCTTAATCATGCTATCATATTTCACAGTTTGCTTTAATTCTTCTCTTTGTCATATAGCTTCCGATACATTTTGACAACATAATTCTCACTTATTTTCAATCCTTTTAAACATCTTATGTCTTATAACTCTCTATCGAATCTGTTAATGTTAAGCGTGGTAAAATGAACCACTAAATAATAATATCAGGTCTTGTGTTGATGTCTGATCATATGACTGGGGAATATTCGGCTGTACTTGGAGAAAACCAATAATGGATCTACAGACAATCTTCAAAATAAAATTAAAGCACCCACCACTCTTAACCAGCATGTACAGTTTTGTACACTAGACTGAGCTACAGCTGGTGTGCGGTTTTTGTGATACTACCTGGTTGTCCAGACCTCGGTAGGAGAAGCAGGGTTTAATCTATACCTCACTTGCAAAAAGTTGATTTCCTAAGCTAATAGTTGTCACACAACTCGGGGACTTTACTTCCTCCTTCAAGTGAGCCATAAATTATTGCACTGTATAGGTTAAATTTGGGTCTGAAAAGGACTTCTTTGTCATAAGTACTGATATCAGCTTAGCTTGTTTAGTAGAGCTGAGTAGAACAGCCAAAACACTGTGCTACTTCAGTTTCGATTGTCATTACGCTTCACATGATTTGAGGCAAATTTTCAATGTGTTGAAGTGGGAGGTCACCGCTTTGCATTTGTGGCTAATTATCATTTTTATCTACTAAAAGCACATCTGAATCCTACCGATATTTTAATAAAGAAGAGGTTATTTACTTAGTGGTTGGAAAAAATAGTCGCAGAGTGTTATAAAAGCTGAATGGACAAACTTCATTGAAATACCGAAGCTAATTTAACATGCAGCAATCAATATAAATCAGGTTGGATGAAATCCTGATACATTATGAAATGTGTAGTTCAAATTTTCACATCAGTTGCGTACAGGACTTAGATGCACTCAAGTCTCAGCCATTTTCAGTAGCCCAAAAACAACTGGTACACATCCAGCCATGATTCCAGTCTATCTTCCTCTATTGCCAAACACATACTAGAAACTAGTCACAGGGTAGATGGACCAAATCAACGTAAAACGTCGCATAAAAATACATCGGTCCAAGCTGTTACACTTCACAGTGCTCCATGAATAATAGGTGGATAGAAAAAGAGTGATATCGAAGAAGAGGAAGTGTGAGAAAAAAACAATCTGAAGATGAAGGTTAGTGCAAGTATTCGGGCTCTAGATGTCAAGCAGTGAATACATCTGCGCCATTGTGACTGATTTTCAGCCATCTCACCAAAAGTTCTCAACTGCTGATTCCTTTCATCTCGAGGACTCCAACCAGGTAGTCTACATCTATACACAGCTGAGACCAACAGTGTGACCGTCGACTGATGCCACATCTTCGTCTCGTTACCCGCAACCCCCTTCCAACCTAATCCAACTTTCCATAGCGTGGCACGTCGATATGGGCGGTGGCTCAGCAAGCGCAGTATATGTCCAGGCAATCAGCCGACTAAGGCTCACAACCTCACTAACTGACTTGTCCGTTTTGCCTAGTATATCGAGTCAAATGACGATTCAGTGAAGTTTCGACTTTCTGAACCTGCAGAAAATATGTACATAGGATGGTTTATGAACCATAATTTTAGTGGATCCTTTTTATAGACCCACTTATTTACCTGATTCAGTAACTAATGACTAAGTTTATCTCCTTAAGAGTTTAAACCTGGTGATTCTTGCACAAAAAATTCCTTTTCACCGAAACTGATTGCAATTTTTTGAAGGTTATGAAATTATGGTTTCAAAATTACAAATTACGAATTATAACGTATGGAAGAACAAATTTAACAAATGCTTCATAAGAAAGGATTTTTTGTGATTTAGAGTTTTTATAATCGCTTAGCGACCCCAGATACTACTAATACAATTTATTATTTTGCAAAACGATTAGAAAATCCATAAACTCATATAAAGCTGATTATATTTCTCAACCATAAGAGTGTTTAGGGCTTTTGAAGATTTCGTCATTTTTTGGGTACTGTTAATAAATGCACTTGAGTTTTATACTCAACAATGAAATCAAGCATTTTAAGTACTTCGAGGAAACATGATTGTAGATAAACTTTAGTATATACTAGGAACTTAGGGCGTATGCTCGAGTTTCAAGTAGAATTGTGTAATAACCTGCAGAGACTAAACAATTCAGTACAAAAGCCATGAAAAAATGTCAGCTATTGAAGATTGCAGTTGAAAATTGGCATTTTACTCATAGAGCCCTTTCAAAAGTTTGTTTCTCAAGCATAACGACTATGAAATTCGCAAGTTTCTAGTGATTAGAATGATTGAAAATGCAAGTTTTTTTTATGAACTGCATCGTTTGACCTCACCATATGCCTATCCACAAATATACGAAACAGAAAACATTTTATTCTCATAACATCACACTGATAAGTTGACTTCATAACACAAGTAGCTATAGAAATGCATGAGGTAAGACCAAATGGAGAAAAAACAAGAATCAAAAGTGTTAACAGAGTTACAAAATAAAAAAAATGACTAACCAGTGTCTCAACACTGAAAATGTAATATAAATACCACATTCCTAAGAAGCATTATTTATTATATCTCTCCAGACGACTGTTAAACTCATGTTTAGCAACTAATATGATCAGACGGCATGAGTTCCTGTTGATTTTAATCAATATCAAAAATACAACTTACCATCCCAACACCATCTAGTTTAGCTCGCAAGAATATATAACGAAACCAAATAAACCTC